CATTTTTTGTCTTTGCGTAGCTATTTACAAAGTAGCCAACTGATTGTTCCACTGAAAGTCTAATGTTACTGTGACATTACTGTTCATCACAGAGAGAAGTGTGAGGCATCATGTTTGCTTGACGCTTTATGGTCTCAGAATTTGCCCACGAAGGGATCTCAGTTCTTATTTGCTGGAAATCAAGGTGTAAGCAAGTACTTATCACAAACCTGATCATTTTCTGAGTGAGATAAAGTACACTAATACTGACTATGTAATCATTATGTAATGCTCGAGACAAAAAATCTATATACTCCAAGCAGAGCATAATTAGCTAGTTTCTAGTATTGCATGTGCCTTAGCAGTTGCATGATTGTATTACTTTCTCAAACAAGCCCCTCTGATTATTTTTTAAGGTGAATGGAGATGGTAACACACTTCAGTATTATGCATTGATGTGGTGCTACCAGGGAGAAAAAAAACAAAACACCAATGCATTCCCTTTAATTGTGCATGTTATCCTGTAAACCTCAGTTTAACTATTTCACGTTAGCTGTTTCTCACTTGTAAATTGCCAGTAAAAGGCTTATTTATACTACCTTTCAACAAGATTCCCGTTTACTACATCTCTTTAAGACATTTATGACTGAACAATGTTATGTTCAGCACAGTTCATATTTACCATGTCTGTTCCAATTTTAGATGTCTCTTCTCCTCGTCCTCAGAGTTGGTTTCTTAAATTGCTGAAGTAGCCCTTAGTTTCTCCACAATTAAGTGGTCTGCCTTTAGGTCCCTGTTAAGGGGAAGAGGTTTGTATCCAGAGGGACATTATGTGCAGATCTCTCTGAAGCTCAGCAGCATCTCAGGGAGATCAAACACACAGTTCATTAGCTGCATTTCTCCCAAGAGCTGAGTGTGCTACCTGAACAGGCATCCAATTCCTGCAGATGTATTCTTGAGGCCAGGAGAACCAAATGAGCCTTCAAGGCTAGATTCTTATTTTCACTGGACTTGGTTTGTCACAGCAGGCAGCAGATGGCCAGGTGGAACAGGATGCTTTATTTTCCTGGTCAAATACATACAGAGAGCGTATTGGTGGTGCTCCCAACAGATAAAGACTAGATAAAAGATGTGCACTACTCCCAGACAAACCAGGGGGAAGACAGGCGAGTGGGGCCTCTTCCTCTTTTCTCTGTAAAGTAGAAGAGTGCAATACAAAAGTACAAAAAAGTTTGCTTTTTCCTAGTCACACCTGGAGAACACAGTCTATACAGATCATTCAGAGATGGTGTGTAGGAGAAGTCATCCTAACAGAAATTCTTGAAAAGTGAGCCAGATACATCTCCCTCACACACAGATAAAAAAGTCAGCCACAGCTGCTTCTGCAACAGTGGCAGAGGTTTCAAAGTTAATGAAGAGGACCGGAAAGGGATAACAGGTAAACCTACAGAGAGCAGCAGCAGTACAAGCAGGAAAAATGGGTTTCTAGAGAGGTCTATTAAAGGGAAATCTGTGGTTTACCTGGTAAACCAATAACCAAGAGGATGAGATTTGGAGGTTCTGGAGAGTGCGGAGAACATCAGTAGGTCTCTCATTTTGGGGAGATAAAAGTTATATCTACCAATACTAATCTTCCCAACTAAATCCACACGTGTTTTCTGAGGATAAGTAGCTTACATAACTCCTGTTCCACAACTAGATCACCTTTCAGAGAAGGATCTGTCCTTATTTCAATAGAATTTACCTTAGTTGGAAGTAACATAAAATAATAATATAAAGTAATATAAATAATACAAATATCTCCATATAGATATTGCAATGTACAGAATATCTTTTCTGTAGAAAAAGTTCCTTCTCAAAATAACAGGTGCCCATATATATGTTCGTACACTTATATTTGTGTATGTGTATATATGTGTTTAAATAAGCTACATAGGCAGCTGTCAGTATCTTTTGTTTTGCAGTAAAAATTTTTCAGTAGGAGTTGATCTCAAGAGTCATAAAAATACCATGCAAATGCAGTTCTTTCATTTTTTTCATATACCAAAGTTCCTGTTTTCTCAGATATTGTACAAATTTTGTGCTTAATTTTGCCTCGTTTTTCTTGACTACAGTTTGCCAGAATCTTTTTCATTCTGGAGAACTGATTATTTGCAACCAGGTGTACTTTTAAAGATGATATCATTCCTAGAAGGTTTTCTGGACAGACTGTAAAACACTGGTGAGTGTCTAGTAAGGTGTAAGGTATTCAAGAGAGTTGTGAATGTTCTCCAGTGCATCGCTTTCAGCGTCTCTGGACTGCCCTCACCAGCCAAACCAGAAGTTATTGCTGCTGTAGCAAAAGCAGCAGGACAATGCACGTTTTCACCTCATTACTCTAGTTCACAGTCCAGAGTATTAGTTAAGCCAATGATGAAGGTAACTTTGCATGAAGTTCCGACAGAGAACTGGAGAAGCTGAGGCGTCCTCTTCTGCTGTCTGTGCTATGGAGGGTGGTAACATCCAGCACAAGGAGCTGGCAGACTGATAAAGGCAGTAGCATCTTTGGATGCTGCAGCTCAGTTATCCAAAAAACGCCCTCCAGAGCATGTGCTCACATGAAGCGTGTCTTCGATGCATGAGTAGATCTAATAATTTTCCTAGTGTGTCATGATACCAACATTCAGAGAACCTAAAATCACATGGGACATTTTTTCTTCTCCCATATGGCATTAAATGCCATATTTTCTTTCTAGTGTCACTCATAGCTCTTTCAGTCGTACAGTTTTCCAAATATCTCCCCCTCTCTGGTGAATCACTGCTGTACGAACAAGTGTTTCCCAGCACATGCGGTTCTGTTCTGAACGTTGCCAACCCCTGTGCGTGCGGGGTGCTCTTCGCAAAGGGATGGGGAACCGAGTGCAGCAGCAGGGCCGGCGAAGCAGGGGTCTTTCCTTCCTCCAGCCCCCAGGCAAGGCTTGGGAGCAGCAGCCGGGTTGAGCCTGAACTCCCGGCTTTGGCAAGTGAACTTGTGGCAAGTCCACAAACTTGGACCTTGAGCCCTGGCAGCCAGACCTCCTGCAGCAGGTCTGCGCTCAGCACTTTTAAATCAAGTGTGCAGTTACTCATGTCCGGAAGCATTTGCTGCATCTGGCCTTTGAAATAATAGAATCCCAACACAAGAAGGACATGGAGCTGCTGGAGCGAGTCCAGAGGAGGGCCACAAAGATGATTTGAGGCTGGAGCCCTTCTCCTATGAAGACAGGCTGAGAGAGTTGAGGCTGTTCAGCCTGGAGAAGAGAAGGCTCCAGGGTCATCTTCTAGCAGCCTTCCAGTACTTAAAGGGGGCCTAAAAGAAGGCTAGAGAGGGTCTTTTTACAAGGGTAAGTAGTGATAAGTCAAGGGGCAATGGCTTTAAACTGAAAGAGGGCAGATTTAGATTAGATATAAGGAAGAAATTTTTCACTCAGAGGGTGGTGAGGCACTGGAACAGGTTGCCCAGAGAAGTGGATGCCCCATCCCTGGAAGTGTTCAAGGCCAGGTCGGATGAGGCTTTGGGCAACCTGGTGTATTGGACAGTGTCTTTGCCCATGGCAGGGGGGTTGGAACTAGATGATCTTTGAGCCCCCTTCCAACCCTAACCATTCTATGCTTCTGTGATTCTGTGAAATAATCCTGGTCTTATTGGTGAAATCTGAGGGTAGTGGGGAACAGAAATTACTGCAGTAGTCTACTATTTCTCATTGAATCCGCACGGGGGGATCCAGTGGTGCGTGGTGCGTGATCCCTGTGGTTTCCAGTGCCGAACGGCAGGCGTGTTCCCAGGCACAACCCTTGCAAGCTGGCACACGTCAACTGTAGTTGTGGCACATTTGGGTGATGTTTGTAGTTCAGTAGAGCTGGCTTCTGGGTAAGCGAAAAGGAGCAAACCTAATTTTTATGGTACCATAGGCTGGTTTTGCAGTGCTGTGTACTAGCAGGAGAGAAGCTGATGCAGACGTCAAGAACTTGCCCACGCTCATCCTTGCACCATTTTAATGCAATCAATCTGAAATGATATACTGATTTGGTATCTAAGTGGTAGCTTAGATGTCTGAATTGGGGCCATTCTCTTGGCGTGCTGCCTTGCTTAAATGCACACATACTCCCTAGACGAGGGTACCACCTGTACCATTACTGAGTGCTTCTCCTTGTCTGGTGACAAAATGACATGGCAGGCCTGCGAGGGAAATGTCTGGTCTTTCACTGGCTGGTGAAGTGATACTTTGGAGAGTTCAGGAATAGAGGTGATGATGAAGACACGCAGGAATTCATCCTTTCCATCTCTATCCCTAAATATTGATTTCATATAGTCAATTTTTGTTTATTGAGATAAAGATGTTATAAAACTCTCAGGTAAATTGTTACATTTATTCCAAACGAGAAACAGTTTGTGACAACCTGTAAGGAAGTTGAGGTCCGATTACATCAGCATATCTCCAAATCCACATGCAGCATGTTTTGTCCAGTTTGCATACATGTAAGTGATAATAAAGGGTACAAAGAAGTGGAGATCATCCTATTGATTTTGTTTTTGTAAATTAGCAGCTATGAAAGCTCATCATAGCTTTTTATGAAGTTGCTAGAAGGGTATGTTATTTTTAAACTTTGGAATTCCTATAAATCAAAGCATGTTTTACCTGGAGGTTCTTTTTTTCTAAGTAAATGTTAAAAAGTGTTCTTCTTTCTATGGGAGATCATTATTTCCTCTTTTATGTATCATTTTGTTAAATCAGGAAAGCCTTGCAAAAAAATCCTCATATAATGATAGCGTGTGAAAAATGTAAAATATAATTCAGGGTTTTTTTTTTTAAATGAATGACTTTTTCATTGTTTTATTGCTAATAGCAAATGCATTTCAAAATCAAAGTAATTTGTTAGAATCCACATCTTTACACTGCTACTGAAATTGTGTTTTGATTTCTTTGACATGATCCCTGATTGCTGTGAGAAGAATCAGTTCAGTATTTTTGTTCTTAGATTCCCCCTCCTTTGTCTTGCAGCTACTTGTGGCAGATTCCATTAACAATTGCAGTAGGAAATACGAGCCACATCTCATCAGAGGCAATTATATGGGTGTCTAACAAATCAGGTAAAAATAAATTTTCCTCCCAGTGGAATCTCATAAAGCGTACTTGTGTTTTCCTCAACTGTTTCTTTGGAATTGATCCTAGATAATTGTTTAGTTGCTCTGCACCCAGTTTTAGCTACTTGAAATGAATTACAAAAAAAGGAGAGTTGGGAAGGGAGGGAGGAGGAATGAAGGATGAGCAACAAGCAAGATTTATAATTATTGCAGAAGTTAGACAGTATAATGAAAAGCTTTTACATAGAAATGTGTACCTAAGTGCTAAGTATTTTATATTTAGCAACACATAATCAAATCATTGATGAATGCAATTCACTTTATTGATTGGTGAAAGTTAAATGTAATATTTTTATAGCAAAGCATCCAATGAGCATGACTTAAAAATGCAAAGTATTTAGAATTCTGGCATTTTAAACTCTGATCCATAGTCTGAACCAGGGCTGAGAGATGTTTACTGTCATTAAAAAGTTTCCTTATTGATCTATCAAAGTATATCTTCTCTCTATTAGATAACCAGATGCTGGACTTCAAAAGTGCATTATTCTGCTCACTACTTATTTTCTTCCTCCTCAGTTCCTACGTGATCATAATAGTTATTGTCCTAAGGACAACTAGGGCTAGATACCAGTGGTTTTTTATCACCTAAAGATAAAAAGAATTCTGCCACAGAAATTTCATTAAATATTTCTCTATTTCCTTAGCAGTTCATGCTACATCAGCTGACAGTTTTGGACTGGAATTGAAGAGAGTGGGGAAGAAGTGTGGAGACTTGAATAGATTGATTATATGTAAGGGAAAAGAAGGATCCGTGCAACCCCTCGACACATGGGCTGTAGAGGGAGAACTGACCCCTTCTTGTAAAATCAGAAGGGCATAGAGATTTCCCTCTGATAGAAATTTAATTGGAGAGAGAGGAAGGAGTCAAACCTATGTGAGCCTGGTTTTTTTCCTTTTTTTCTCTTTTATAAGTCACTAAAAGATAATAGTCACATAGAGCTTTTCAGCCAGCGGGACTAGAAACGAATGGTGTAAGATTAGTGGAAATCTGAGTATCCCAACTTTCTAGTGGTGTAAGGTATGTGCTTCTTTGCCCTGATCGTTTGCAGCCTGTCAGAAAGTAGCATATTTTACGCTGCTCCCATGATGTAGTGATCTAGAAATGTGCCTGAGACCAGGACACATTTCATACCTGGGAAACATACTCTAGTCACAGCGTACAGATGCTGCCTCGCTTTGCAGAAATATATCACATTGGCCGTACGTTTTAATATTAACGCCTCTGAAATACTTTGAAACACGTTTGCACTTTCACCGTCTGCCTTAATGACCCTACTCTACTTTTGTCCTTTAGGGCTTGATTGAGTTCTCATTGAAGTCAATAGAAAGATTCCCACTGACTTCAGAGAGGGTTGATCTTCTCATCTCATCGCATCTCATCTCATCTCATTAGGTTGTACATGCATGCCTCTTTCTCTTCACTCCTTCCTTGAAAGTTCGGAATATCACTATTATCTGCACAGTTGCTTCCTCATTGCCTTTTACTTGCAGAGTGCTGTGGAGGAACAAGTCCATAAAGCCACTGCCCACTCTTTTAAGATCTACTGCTCCTATTGGAATGCCTTCAAGAAATCAACAAATTAATGATGGCCAGTGTGAGCAACGATTTTGAGGTGGCTGCTATATAGAAATTAGAGGAACCTTTCTGAGTCATCAGTTTCCTGTGTAGCAAGTCAATGCCAATGTGATCTATTGTCATTATCCTTGTCCTTCTTCATTACTTTCTCACTCACTCACTCACTTGCTGTGCCTCATTGAAAATGAGACTGTAAACTTATGACTACAGCAAGGATGTCCTCTTGCTTCTACTTATTGTTGTCTAGCTCAGCTGGATAATGCCTCAGCATAAAAAAGTCAGTAAGAACATCCCTGGGTATACTTAATGTATGATTCGTTGTATATGCTGTTATGTATTGGGTATAGATGATTTTGTGATACTCCTGGAGATTTTCTGCCACTGGTGTGTTTGTTTCGTGAGGATGTTGGAAGGATTCTAAGACTGGAAAGGATGATTTCCAGGACTGATTCTTGTGGACGGGAAGAATCCTGAAGACTTTCTATTGTGCAGAGGACACAGTTTCATTGTTGTCCCAGCAAGTACTCTGGGTACACCTCTGCAAGTTGGAGGTGAAACAAACTACTCCAGAGGATGTTTGGAAGATTGGGAGCAGTGAAATTTTTCTTCAAGTGAGTGTAATTGAATGCAGATATTCAAATCAAGTTTGGAGGAAATGCTGTTCATGAGGATGGTTCCCATGCCTTCTTTAGGAAGTAGTGGGTGTTTCCTTCTTGCTGACTAAACTGCTGTGCTAAAGAAGCTTCCAGTCTAACCTGAAGAGTGGATAGGAGATGATGAACAGCTGTCTGTTGTCTGTCATGTAATATTGATCACATACCTCATTTCAGCAGCCAATAATGAAGAGAGTCCAAGATAATGACTACCATTACGGCATCTGGGCATATCACTTAAATTTTTCAATAAAATTAGCCTTGTCTTTGTGCTATCTGAGAGAAATGGAACCATGGCAGTTTTGAAATAGCTACATATATTGCCATCAAAAATACTGCTTTTTTGTGGTAGTTTAAATAACAATTTTGCAGGGGAGTACATCCCTGCCTTGCACTGGAGTTTACCAGGGATGGTTATTTGGGGATGGAAGAGTCTCTTCCTTCATGTACATCCAGAAGAACAAGAGGATTACTGATTTTTGCATCCTCTTCGCTGCCATGTCTGTGACCTCATCAACGTATTGCAGGACGCCAGCTGGCATTTTCATGAGCAAGGGATAAGACACTGCTGTTCAGTCTTGCAGGATGCCTGAGTTGCTGCTCTCTACTTACCCTGGCTGTGTCTGGTTACATACTAGAGATGGTGAGGCATGCAGATCTCTAATTGTTCAATATGCTGAGCAGGATTAGTTCAGATAATTGCAGATCATCCCAACTGCTGGCAACAGAGCTCCTTCTGTCCAGTCTTCACAACACCAAGGTGAAGGGACACATGGGAAATAACAACTTTGCAGCATCTTTTGAGATGTAATTCATTGTCCTTTGCAACAAACCCTGTAGAGAGGACAGTGCCAGGCCTTGGCAACTTGCCTGAAAAAGTGCATAATCTCCAAGATGTTTCATATTCAATGTAGCTCTTCACACCTGTTTGTGGAAAGTATGCAGTCATAGTTTTGGAAGGTTTTCATTTTGCAAGTGCGTCTGCCAGTCTCTCTTCTCCTTACCCAGTGAGCCATACCATTTATGTAACCATTTTTCTACTCATCAGTTCATATACCAGTGATCAGATGACCCTTTTAACTGGCTCAATTTGTCTGGCAGGTGAAATGGAGCTGTCTCTTTTGCTCTCAGAGTGCTGCACAGATAATGTCAACACCACCTTTTCCCTGTTCACTCCCCATAGCCATGGACGAGGCCATTCTGCTTCAGACGAGTGATAGCTATTAAACCTCTGAAAACTAAACCAGTCACAAAGAAAAGAGACATCTCATGATTAGCTTTCCTATACATGCTGAGGTCAGAGACATGACTCTAAGATGGCTGCAGTGCTCTGTGCTACAGTCTTGTAGGTCTGCAGAATGATGGATTTCACTGGCACTGTGGAAATCATTGGTCTTTCACACTTCTGCTCTGTCATAGATGCAGCGCTCTTTTGTGTTTCTCCTAGATTAGTCACCTCTTTTGTGGTCACCGTCACGATGTGTGAATGTAATGTCCACAGTGTTTTGAGATTAGCCTAAAATCAGTTGAGAGTAAAAAGTGAAGGAGCAGCTTTGAACTCAGTCTGTCCTCACAAGACAACTGCTTAGCAGGGCTTGTGGGAAGGTGTTGGTGATCACTACTGAGGGAGTACTAAGTGTGGAAGCACAGGCTCACCTGCTGCATTTCTGCAAATCCAGGAGAAGTGACCTTAACCTCAAGTGAGGAGGTTTAGCTAGCATCTGTTTCAAACAGATGAGCAAGGCTTTGGACAAAGGCATACGTGCCATTCCCTGGGCGTGACACTCAGGCTCCAGGTAGGAAACGTCTCCATGCGACTCAGCACACGCTTCTGAACTGAGTGACGCAGCTTTACAGTCTGCCTCCCTGCCCTTTCCATCCCAACCTCCTGTACCTTGACTGGTTTGTTATGTCCCAGGGAAGTGTTTCTCTGATGGACCTCCTTGCCTCTGGTAAAGTGACTCTCATTCAGACTTCTCTTAGTATCTCCACAAGATTGCCAGGAGATGGGGGAAAGAAAGTTCACAGGATAATTGCCTTCCAAACAGCAAGTCCCAACTTACTATATTATGCCACCTCCTACTAGATAATCTTACTTAAACTGTAAGCCTCTTGACAGTCTGATTTTCCTCCATGAAGTGTTTCGTAGAAGAAAGCTGCTTCTGAGCTGGGGTTTGCTTGCTGCCCTCTGGGGAATAGAGCATTAGAGCAGTGTTAGAAAAATACCCTTTCTTTTCCTTTCTGAGACTCAGCTGCAGAGCTTGACTCATGTTGCTTCCAGACTCCACTCTTCTATCTTTCAAAAGTGGGAGGAAGGGAAGCACTGTGAAGTAAAGGAAATATATAGGTCCTGCTTTATAACTTTAGCCAGCCATGGTGAGGACCAGGAATACAAGACCTGCAATCCTGGCACAATTTTGACAGAGTGAGGCAGAATCACTCCCCTATCTCAACAGCCGAGCAAAGATCCTAACAGAAAGCTGCTGCTTTCATTGTGTATCACCTTACACATTGGCAGTTCCATCATATAGGACCGTCAGTGGTGGGAAGGGTGGTCTGAGGATAGAGCATGTGAAAGAGAACCTGATCATATTTACTGATGTGCTCCATTAATTGTGCTCACTATACCAAAACATTTTTTTTCAACATGGAGCTATGGCAACATGGCAAGTGAGATGGAAAGAACGTTTTCTTCTGCTTTGCCTTCTCCTCATATGAAAAGTTCTTGCAAAAAGATTTGCAGATTTTAGTTAAAGCCAGCATCTTGTCATAAAATAGTGTGATTGTAATGAAATTCCTCATGGAACGTTTTCTTGGTCAGAAAAATTTCAAACTGGCTGGTTTTGGCATGAAATTGTGCTACTCTTCTGCAGTTATTTTTGCGGGAAAATGGAGTCGGTTCTCTCAGTAGGGATTCTAGCAGTGTAAATCAATTTCCTAGTATGCTAAGGGTTGTATAAAATGAAGAGCTAAAATAAAAACTGTGAGTCTGAACACTTGAAACGGTGGTAGAACTGTGTTTAGCCCACGTTCTTGTCAGCATTGAAGTAGTGTCTTGCAGAGGGCTGCCCTTCTCCCAGACCTACCTCACAAGGTGCTCGTGTTGCCATGCGGAGGAGCAGGCTTCCATCATTCC